TCCAACCCTTTCCTCCTCTCCAAGCGACCAGGACTTGCACCTCCCGGCCCCCTGTCCTAACAGTGACTGTTTTTTTGTGTGTTTTTTTTTAAATATATTTGTATTGATTTCAGTGAGGAAGGGAGAGGGAGAGAGAGAGAAGCAACCATGATGAGAGAGAATCATCAATCGGCTGCCTCCTGCCCCCCCCACCGGGGATCGAGCCTGCAGCCTGGACCGTGCCCTTGACCTGAACAGAACCCGGGATCCTTCAGTCCGCGGGCCCGCGCTCTACCCACTGAGCCACACCGGCTAGGGCGACTTTTTTTTAATATGTATATTTTTATGGATCTCAGAGAGGAAGGGAGAGAGAGAGAGGAGCATCAATGACCAGAGAGAATCCCCCCACTGGGCATGGAGCCTGCAACCTGGGCCTGTGCCCTGGCTGGGAATCCAACCGCAACCTGGTTCATGGGTGGACACACAACCACTGAGCCACACTGGCCAGCGGGAATCTGCTGTTGCTGGACACAGCTCTGTCAAGATCTTGGTCCCACAAGAAGTTTCAAGATAAGATTTCTCTTCACATTTCTTTTTTTTTTTTTTCTCCTTTCGACTTGTTGCGTAGGCCACTCATTTTTACCATTTCATTTTCTGACATAAATACATGTGGTGAAAGCACCGCACATACTTCGACATGGGCATCGGCCCAGGACTTTGTCCAAATGCGGCCGTGACTGTGGCGAGTGTCAGTGCAGACCCGGAGTCCTGCTTCACCCATCTGTTCCTTCTTGACAATCCCTCTGTCGCCGCCTTTTAATTCCTGGATCCTCGGTCTTTATTTTCTGTGAGAAGCAGATGAAAGGGTGTCATTTATCGCCTGAAAGTCATGTTTTGTCTTCGTTCTATTATAGTCCAAGATTTTGCAATTCTGGGACGTAGGTCCCTCTGCCAGTTATGACTAAACCCTTGAAAAAGATGAAGGCGTCTAGAAATCCTTTGAAATGTCCCCAATTTGGCTCCCGTTCGCTCCTGTGAGCACAGAGTCGCTTCCTCCCGCGGTCGGAAGGCCCGGAATGTTCCTCCTCGCCGGATGCGTTCCCCTTATGTTCATGAAGAGACCACTTAGCTCCCTCTGTCCTAGTTCCTCTCCCGGCACATGGTAACCAGGGCTGCACGGGCGTTCAAGGAAAACGCAGAAGCTGTGAAGCCGTCAGACCACGTCTTTCTTGGGACAAGACATTTTTCTAGTTCTTACCAAGAATCGCAACTCCCACCATTTTTTTTAAATGCGCTTTTGACCCGATGGTGTTTTTTCACTTTATGGAATAGACACAATCATTTATAAACACGATACAGAAACTCCGTGTGTTCGTTCAGGCTTTTTGATATTACCTGATGCTGTCCGAGCTTTCTCACGTCCAGATTAGAGACTCCCGGGCCGGATGCCTGTCGCCGCTCGCATTCCCACGCGGATGGCTCCAGGCGAGGGCCAGGGGCGCTCTAAGCCCCTGTAAAGACCTCGGTCGTCGCACATACGCTGTCGGTTTCCTTGCGTCATTGCGTTTGGTTTATGATAAAACTTTTCGCTGTGTGATATTTATTCTAAGTCACTACCCACGTCTTGCATTGACCTGCACATCGTCACATGGTTCTTCGGCCATGCTGTTTATGGCATGGAGGTTTCGGATCTTAGATAGGCATAGAAAGGCACCGTGTAGTGAATTATAACTAACACAGACGTGCCGTTCAAACAGGACAACTTCTCATTTCCTATGGGTGGGGGCGGGAGGGGCTTGTCGTAAATTCTCAATGAAATGAGACATTGAAGCTTCATTGATTTTGTTCATTCTTTTAAATAGCTATGCTTTCTCACAACTGTGATCTTCAATGATAGCTGTGTATTACGCTTTCACAATAAGTCTTGTCTCACTTTTTTTAAGTATATAATATGAAGAAGATAGAAAAACCTGCATATGGTATATACTCATGATGTAATTGTTTTAAGTCGGCCTCATTCCTTGTCTTACAAAGGCAGCCTGGGCCCTGGCCGCTGTGGCTGAGTTGGTTGGAGCGTCGTCCCAAAAGGTGGTGGGTTTGATTCCCGGTCGGGGCGCGTACCCAGGTTGCAGACTCCATCCCCAGTTGGGCAGGTTCAGGAGGCAACTGGTGGATGTCTCTCTCTCTCTCTCGCCCTCTCTCTCTCTCTCGCCCTCTCTCTCTCTCTCGCCCTCTCTCTCTCTCTCGCCCTCTCTCTCTCTCTCGCCCTCTCTCTCTCTCTCTCTCTCTCCCTGCCTCCCTCCCTCCCTCCTTCCGTCCCTCCTCCCTCCCCCTCCCTTCTCGTCTCTAAAATCAGTTATTTAAAAAATGCAACTTGGGAAAGTAAGACCAAGTGAATGTAGTATTCAGTGAATGAGGAACCAGAGCCAGCCCGAACGGCTAAGTTCCCTCTCTCACGACGTTGAATGCGCCTTTTTGTAGGTAACTTGCCAGCCAGCGTTTGGACAACATGGTAACCACTTCACGTAGTAATAGCTCATCTCATTCTTGGCGATGATGAAAGGAAAACCAGTGCATTTTCTTTGTAAAATCAAACGCACGCTCAGAGCAGCGCTGCCCATCTTCAACGTCTAGTTATCGTGGAAATAATGCAGGAGGCTGAGCCACACTAGCCCCTGTGACGTTTACTCTCGAACAAACGTGTGTCCTTCTCAAGGGGCACGAGAGGCCTGTGAAGAACACGTCGGACGTTAAAACGGCACAACGCAGCCCGGAAAGCTCGGACGGCAGAGTGGGTTCTGAATCGTCCGGCTGCTGGGACCCATGAAATCCTGTTTGTTTTTCACAATGAAAAACCCAGCACCTGCAGAGTCTGGTTTTCCTCCTCCTCCTCCTCCTCTAATTTATCTTCATTGTTGAAAGTATTACATAGGTCCCCTTTTTTACCCCATGGACCCCTCCAGCGGCCCCGCCCCCGGCCCTCACCGCCCCATGGCCTGTGCCGTGGGCCGTGCAGCTAGGCACAGGGGGCTCTTGGTCGGTCACTTCCCTCCGCGTCCTCCCT